ACATTTTACAAATGCTAGCTTGGGTTAGGACAAGGAGAAAAACATTAGTGGCCTAGGAACTTTGTTTCCTAATATAGGCCTCTTTATTTTGATTTATATATGTGTAACTAATTTGATAATGCCAATTAAAAAAATACATATTCTTATATTTCTTGTACTATTTAATTGTTTATATTGATTGGTTGTATTTTAGGCCCTATAATGGTATGTTGTGATTTGAGAAGTCTAGGCAAGGCCAAAATATTAGTGCAAGTATGAGTTTTTGACTTTAAGATAATTGTAACTGAAGATTGTAAGATTTGATGTTAAAATGCATCCCCTTTTGCTTTTGATGAGTTTGAGGTTGCGGTTTAAATTTGTGAAATATGTTATATCTTGTTGCTATGGTATGTTGTATAGATTGTCCTAAGTCTATCGAAGGTCTCCTAGGTAGTTGTATGTGTAAGGTCTCCCTTACTCGTCTCACATTAACTCCATGTTTTGGGTAATCAAGGGACTAACCTTAAAAGGATTACTAAGTTTGTAAAATTGCAAGAATGGAATCCCAAGTTTTCACAAATCAAAATACTCCAACTACATTTATTGAAAATTAAAGTGAAACATTCTTATAGAAGCAGGGGAATCTATTTTGTATTGTAGCATTTGTAAAGGAAGTGAGAAAAAACATCATTTTCAACAAAATGACATGATGCACCACAGCTCATTGCAGATACTCCACGTCTATCTAGTGCATTGCTCAAATTTGACGACATATTTGCTATCATCAGACAGTTCTGGGGGTGAACTTCTAATACGCCTCATTTTTTCGTCCAACGTCCATTTGAGGTGATCTAAGTGTCTATAGAGAGTTTTCTTTTAACTCTAGCTAGTGGCATGATTTCACAATCAAATCAATTTTCAATCAAAAGATGGACACTCATTTCCAAACTTATTCCTTTTTCACAATAATATATAAGTAGGTATCTATTTTACAATACAAGCGCTAAAAGCCTACACCAACCCTTAAACCATACTCAAAGGACTATAATGGACCTGTGCAACACACCACAACCAACTAATCATACATATGTCAACTTTTCAATGCTCAACCCCCTCAATCACAAAATATGAGGGGGAGCCAAAACTTTATAAATTAACACATAAATCATCATATCCATTTATTTACACAACTTTGTATTTATACTAGTATTTTGGCTCTATTTTAAATTTTACAATCGTATCACATAAAACCCAAGGCATAAAATACACATTTTCCAATCAAACTCACAATTAGTACAAGTAGCCAAAAATTATATATAATCCTAGTTGGCAAATTATCAATGCAAATACACATACAAATAACTACAAGGCTTATAGGTAGGATTTTCTCCGAATTATAAGCCCTTGGCTATTTTCCTTAATCTTGATCCAATGAGCTAGTCTCTATAATATTGAAGAATGAGGGGTAAGTATAATCACTCAATAACAAAGATCAATCTAATCTATACAATTGCATATCAATTAATTATAAATATAAATGACAAATACAATTCTTTCAAATACTTTGTTTGCTTTTCAAAAGTTGCCACAACAACAATATTAACAACCATGTGACCAGGCTAGCATAATTCATCTCACATCATGCGTGAACGATAAAACACATATGGGATCACAATGCTAACAACCATGTGCCCCTATCAAATCTCGTCGGGTCATAATAATAACAACTATGTGGCTAGTAAATATGAAACGCATGATCAATTCTAATCTTATACTCTCCTGATACTTCCAACATAAAACTGGTGGCTATTTAGTGACTATGTCCAAACTCAAACTAACCAAACCTTCCACTCGTGAGGAACTGCCCGACCAAGGCCATCTCACTCACTTGTGATCCCCAATTTCTCTCAATATTAATAACCATAGGATGTTATACCCCTAATCTAACCTCCTCTAAATTGTGGAGACTAGTTAGGTTCGAGTCTCTCAAAAAACAAGTGGAATAATTTTTAATAAACTATGGAGCAATGGCTACCTCTCGATTCTAATAGTTGGCATCCAGTTGACTTTTAATTCTAACAATAAGTTGCCATTACCAAAATCATCATTCCATGCACACATTGACACATAGTAAGCAAAACTATTGACAACTATCACATCATGTCATATTTATTACAAATCATCTCCATCATACTTCATACATCTCAATATCCATTGCAAGTACGTATGCATGTTTACTTAAACCTCAAACATATATGTTTAATATTCATTTAATTTTCATATTTCAAGAATTTCACCCATCACATAACATGCCAATTTGCATCAATAAGTTTCAAATATCCAATAAGTTTTCAAACAATTTAATTCAACAAATACTTCATTAACAAGAAATTATACAAACTAAATTTTCCTCCTATTACCTCAAATCTTTGAGAGGTTAAAGGTTTACCCCTCAAAACACAAACTTTCAAAGCTCTCCTCAAGCTTGAATGGTGCCAAATTGGTTAATTTACGATTCAACCATAAGAATAATCATTAATATCCTTATTTGAATAAATTTCAACATTTTATCTCATCATTTCCAACTTACTTTCAAACATACCCATTTGGTTTACTAGCTTCCTTTAACTCACGTTACTATTAATAAACTATTAAACCACCATTAATAACTACTAAACACTCCCAACAACCCTCATTATGGTCTAAATGGTCATTAAGGACCTCCAACATCAAGATTGTGTAAAATCATTATTACTATGTTTAAATAATATAAACAACTCTCATTAACTCTATTTAAGTCAATGGATTTGGACCCATAACTCCTATGGACCGAAAATAAATTTCTCAATTCAAACTCTAACTCAAATCCTCATGAAAATGGAAGAGAAAGGAGGAAAAGAGTTTAGAAACCTTGCCTTAAGTGTTCAATAGCTTAGAAATGCTCCTAAGCATCCAATTTTGCAAGTCCTAGCAAAGCTCAACGTCCCCTTCATTTACTCTCTTTTTCTCCTTCTAATTTTTGAATTGATACAAGCTCGTTTGAGCAAGATTTTGACCATGTGCCACGACGAACACACCATATCCCATGGTACATGGCATAGAGAGGTCTTCCTTTCATTGATGATAGATATGCCTTATGGCACAAGTGCTGCATGCCATAGTATGTGGCATAGAATCACTCCATTCAAATTTTCTTCCTTTTGAATTCTCAAGAGACTCAACTTCACTACAAGCTTGGATTTAGAACTGAAACCACAACCAACACCAGTCATTAGACTCTTATGGCCGTATACTATATTAATTCACTTAATTACCCTAATTAATCAAGGTTAAATTTTTAGGATGTTACAGTATGGGCCAATAGAGCTTGGGATAGGTTTTGGACACTTTGAAAGTTGAAAAATGTGAGAAAGCAGTAGTTTTCATTTTGAGTGTCCAACTTTATAATATAATAGACTTTGTAAATGAGACTAGTGCCATTAGCTAATTCACTAAATGAGCTTTCTGTGGGACACCTAAATCACCTCAATTAGACATCGGATAGGGATTTGGGGCACATCAAAAGTTTAGCCAGATAGTCTGCCATGATAGGGTTTTGCATTTTATGACATAGCATAAAAGTTTGTGCCATGGTGTATTATGCTAGAATTTTGTTTTCGGCTCTTCTAACCCTAACTTGAATTATTATCTTACCTTATATAATTTTCATGCTCTCGTATACATATTTTCATTACTACAAAAACAACTTATGGGAATGCTCATATCGGAGCGCTTATGCTCCTAAAATTTGACACAGAACATTTCAAAGCGCTTTTTTTAAAAGTGTTATGAAACATATACTATACGAGAGTGTTTTTTAGATAAAGTGCTCCCCTAGATGTAAAATAAAAATAAAAACTAAACACCTTATGGGAGCACTTTTGGCATGAGCGCTCCCATAGGTTGACTTAAAAAAACAAAAATTGTTAATGATATCAGAACGCTTCAAGATAAGCACTCCTATGATCAAACTTATGAGAGTGCTTTCTAAAAAAAATCTCCCATGTGATTGGATATCGGAGCGCTTCTCCGATGTCCCACATTAAAAAAAATTTCCTCCTTACTTATCTTCAATTCGGGAACTCAACCCCTCCCTTTATTTATTCAGATTTGAGCTTCCTTTTCATATTGCTTTGCCTGCTCCAGCCTACAAACCCGAAGATGAGTTCACCGCCGAACTCACTCCGTCATGCATCCCATCATCGATCTGCACTGCTGGAAGTCCGATCTCGTACCATGGGGGCTAATGGGTCATGAAGCGCCCAGTTTGCCCATGGTTGCCATCGATCTGCGTGGCTCTGTGCCCAGTGCGCATCTCGTGCTCCAGTCCATACTGCTGCTACTCGTTGAGTCAAGTTCTGAAGATGGATTGCTTCAGATATGAAGCTTCCTGTTGTCGCGTGCTCCCTCGAGATCTGAAGATTCCAGCTCTGTTTTATTTAGTAGGCACTCGTAAGAATTAATTAATTAGCTTGAGGCCAAAATGCAGTTTCGTTTTCCACTAAGCTCTCATGTGACTTCTTCAATCCCATCTCTCTCTCTCTCTCTCTCTCTCTCTCTCCCTGTGCAATTTTCTGCTACATTTGTAACAATTTTAATGGCTCTCTCTCTCTCTCTCTCTCTGTGCACGTCAAGTTGTACATCCTATAATTGACTCAACATACAGTGGAATCCAATCCATCTCTTGTTTTGCACCCTGCCCATGTAGAATTAAATTAAGTATTGGATCATTTTTATTATGTTTATGTTCATTACAATTTGTCAAACATTAAATTCCCGCCGTTGCTTATCATATTCTTCGTGTTCGAGAATGAACCTGTTGTTCCCACCTAGCTCTTTTCTTTGGATAATGCAGTGCTCTCCCCGCACGCTGCTGCTCTCATTGCCAAGTCTTTCAATTAGGTAGCCCAACTTGTTGCTGCTAATCTCCATGCCTTCTTTTTAGATAAATCCTTGCTCGCTCCCACTATGCAGGACTGAAGGATTTGGATTCTTCTTCTCGCCAAACTATATGTGTATGGTGTATTTCAAGAGACATCGACGGCCCAGAAATAAATGTTTATTTGCTGCGATTGAACTATCATTCAAACAATGACAAACATGTTTAACCTTATTTTTGTGGTATTACTTCTTGTCTTGTTTATTCTCTGTCTTTCCTTCCTTTTTTTTTTTGTGATTATTTTTTATTCTATACATCTCTTCAAATCTCCATGTCATTACATGTCTTTGGTAAATTGATAAATGATAACTGTAGCTGTATTTTGGTGGGTTCAGCATTGGAGAAATTGAGAGAATGCTTCATCTGGGTTTGATTTGTGCAAGTTTATGTGAAAATATTTTCTTCCTTGACAGGCTGTAGCAGCAACTTACATGTGGAGAGAGAAGCACGTATTCTTCCTTGTCCTTGAGGTGTTCCTTTCTCTTGATCTTCTTTAATTTCTATTGATTGGAGTCATGAATGTTAGTACATAAATGGAATATATGATTTAAAGTTCTCTTTATGGTTTACCATTGCCTCACTAAACTTTCAGTGTTATTGTCACTGAGCAACAAATTTTGTTTTCAAGAATCATTGTTTGGGTTTTCACTTTGATAACTAGTCCCAGAGTTGTTACATGGAAGAAACTGTAATTAATTTTTATTAGAGGCAAGTTGAAGTATTGTCAGATCAAAAAAATGCTGAAGTATTGTTGCTTTTTTATTGATATTTTCAATGAGGTGCAAATATGCTGTGCTTATTTCCTGAAAAATACATTGTAACTGATATAGATCTTCTAATACAATTTCCTGAATATATATATATATATATATAGATTATATTCAAGAAGTTTATTGATTTCTTTCAATCTATTGTTTAGAATATAAATGTGTTAACTTTTGATTGCAAATTTCAAGAAGCTTCATGTTTTAAAATTTAAACTAGTACTGATGTTGCAACTTTGTTGCAAAGTTCTCATGCCTAGACTTTTAATTTTCAAATCCCTCTTTGGTTTGGAAGAAAGAGATGGGGATAAGTTTATGTTATTATGTCATTGCTTGCTCATATGGTGAAAATTAGATATCTTCTGTTGCCTTTTGGTTTTTGTTATTAAGTACCTTGTGAAGTTGTCGTATTTAATTTTTCCTTTCAGCTGTCTAGAATGTTGGAATCAGCAAAAGTGAAGATGAAAATACTAAGCGAAACTTTGTTTTGTTTAAAATTGTTTAAAATATTAAGTGAAGTTGTCATATTTCAATTATTTGAGGACGAGTACCCTCCCAATTCTTTGGTTTTTAGGAGAAAAATGATAGCCACTCCTTATTGTTCCAAAGTTTCAAAGAAAATTTTGTTTAAAATTATTATTTTTATTCATTACTTGTTTTCATATTATTTTTGTCAATTCCTATCTTTCTTGGACTTTTGTGATCTAAACTTTTGTTTTATTTATTTTTGCAGGTTTGCATTATTGTAACTGGCAAATTTTTTTTATGTAAATAATCTTTTATTTTTTAAATGTAATGTTTAGAACATTGTGGCTCTAGAATCCACAAAATATTGTATTCTTTTAAATTATAAATGTAAGTATATTTTTTTTATTAATTCATCTTGTGCTACTTTAGATAATTATGCATCAATATATGAAGATTGTTATAGTATTGTGAAATAAAAAATATTTAAAAAAATAATGAGACTATAGGAGCGCTTCTAAAAAAAAGCGCTCCAATAGATAACCTATCAGAGTGCTTCTTCTTTGAAGTGCTCCTATAGGTGTCCATCAACAAGAACACTTTAGCTAGAAGTGCTCTCATTGGCTCTTTCTATGGGAACACTTTCATACAAGAGCGCTAGATACAAGAGTACTTTAAAAGCACTCCTGTAGTCAAAAAATAAGCACTCCCATAAACTATTTTTGTAGTAATGTTTGCTTTGATTTTGTTTTTTTTTGAAAATAATTTTATAGAATTTTAAGTTTTGAAAACTTGAGCTCCTATTTATATGAATATTTCAAACTTGGTATTCCACTTCGATTAGTCCAATTATTACCTCAATTTTGAAGTTAATTGTGAATTAATAAAGATAACCTTACATAGAACATACCTATAGGCTCACAGAGTGCTTATAAAAATATTTATAGATCACAAACCAACACAGTCCTCATATCAGCAACAAGATTTGATCTCAAGTTATGAACTAAATATTTATGAACTAGACCAACCTTTGTTAGAATACTACCCTATTTAGTATGCGGGAATTGAGAGGGTGAAAATGGTTATGGATATAGATATGGAATTCAAAATGTTGCATGTTTGGTTGGGTAAAATTGGGTTGAATTAGACGTCCATGTAGAAGCCAATTTGATGGAATTGGCTTCAATGAGGGGGAGCATGGAAGTGCATTTCCACCAGCCCTTGGACCAACATTACCCTTGGTGGCAATGATGTGATGGCAACTCATCCTCTTTGCAATGGCATCTCATCTTCTCTGATTCCATCTTCCCCATATTTGTTGTTGTCTTCTACTAGTTCATCTTCTCCATCTCAAGACACTAAATCATAGTGAAGCCTGGAAACTTTGGTCTCTAGATTGGTTTTCTTTACCTTGGTGGCTACCTTAGATCATTTGAACTCTTTCTCCAAATCCTCCAACTACTCTCGCATCTTCAGTTCATCTTCTTAAACCAAACAACTTTTTTGATTTTTGATGGTGGTAGCTGTAGCTTTGATTTTTGACATAGCTTTGATAGCTTGATTAGATCTAGTTTGATTGATTCTCAAGAGACAATGGCTATAATTTCTTATGGTGGCTTGGATATTTGTGTTAAAGTTAGGGTTTTTGAGATAAGGGCATATTATTAATTTCACAATATAAAGACAAACATCAAATAAAAACAATACACACAAAAGAATTCCATATGAATACCAAACACATTTCATAATCTTATTTCCATCTGCATCTTCATTTCCATTTTCATTTCCATCAAAAGTATTTCTATTATACCAAATGGCCCTAAAGAAACCCACTTCTTCATTTTCAAAACCTACATATATTTTAATCCAATTTTTAACACCACTAGGAATATTTCATTAATAATTTTAAAATAACTAATTTTTTTTGTTTATAATTATGTTGAAAGTTTTATAATCATTCATTTGCTTTTATAGGCCAATTATCTACTCTCTAAATATTTTTAAAATATTTATCTAAAATTAATAAAATTTAAAGAAATATAAATATAAATTATATTGACTAATTTATCTTTTATTAGATTCTTTTTCTGTTTCATTAAGTTTTTCTTGTAAATATCTATTTCAAATTTTTTTTCTAGGTCATGTATTTAATTTCTTTTTTAAAAAATTACTAAATGAATAAATTTACACAGCTAAGAAATTGAAAATATGAATAAAAATTGTAGAAATATATGTGCAGGGGAGGGAAGAAAGGGTGGTGGTAGGCGGGGGGGCAGCAGAGGCAGAGGCAGAAGTAGAGGGTTGCGAGAAGGGGAGGGGGAAGGGATCACAACAGGAGGAAATGGAGGGGAGGGGGGGTCATGCCTGGAGGAAAATGAAAGAGGGAGAGTAGATGAGTGTGAAGAAAATGAGGGGGCAGGAAAATTTATTTAAAAAGTTTTTAACATCAAGTGACACCCTCATTCAATGTAGAAAATGACTTTTCTACATCGATTAATGGTTCACTTAACGTAGAAAGTCTACAATCATTCACTATAATTATGAAAATGTCACCGCCTTAACTTTTTACATCGTTTGCTTTTCAATCGATGTAGAAAGCGCCCCTTAAATTCCATACTTTGTATTAGTGAAGAAAGAGTTCACTGATAAATTTGAGAGATTGTAGTGAAGAAATTCTCAAATAATTCCTGGAGAATAATTGGATGTAAGGTCAAGTTGAGAGAGCTAAACCATGATAAATCTAGATTTTCAATATCTCCATCTCTTATCTCTTTACATTTCCAACACATCAATTTTATACTCTGTTTTAGTGTTCAAATCTACATTTCGAATTTTCTCACTTCTTAACTTAAAGATTTCACTTAAAGTTTGTTTTCAACCATTGGTACAAGTCTTAAACTTAAGATATTTGTTCAAGCTTATACAAAAATAGAGACTAAAGACAAATTGGCGTAACTTCCGCTAACTTATGCTCAGTTTTGCTGTGAAAAGGTTTTAAATATATATCAATACATTTGTTTAGCATATAATTTATCCCTTCTTGGATGTATTGCCATATCTAACACTTGGATTATGGATACAAGGTCATCATATCTACTTACATTGTCTTGAAGCCAACGTACGTCAATCTCATCACAAAAGGATGTGAAGCTTCGTACATCCTTTCAAAGACATTGTGGAGGAGGCACGGATGCTCTGCCGTAAAAATTGGAGTTTACTTTTACAACATTTATTCTATGAAAACAATCAGACTGCTAATTATTTTGGTAGATTATCTCATAGTTCAGACTCTAAATTTTGTATTTTTGATCACTCGTCTGTTTTTTTTTTTTTTTGGTGATTTCTGATATTCCAGGTCTTTGTTCCAAACTAATCTAGTCTTTGCAAGCACCTCCCATCAAGATTTAATCACTGATGCATATTTAGGATTCGAACTCATGACCCCTCCTCATGATATGTATGATGAGGAAGCTCCTAAGTACTTATCCTCTTATTGAATGTAACCTTGATGTAGTTTATTGCTCTGTTCGTTGAATGAATTCAGTTTCCTAGTTGGAAAAAGGAAGACAAAGGAAGAGTAAAGGGCAGAACGAAATGCCCAAGCAATTAGGACCCGTTTGGTTATTAGAAAAAAAAATATTAAATAGAATGGATTGAAAAATTAATAATAAAAATAAGATGATTGAAATATGAAATATAGTATTGAATTTTATCATGTTCACTATAAAAAGAAAGAGTGATTTAATTTTTTTTTAATCTATTACATTTCCATCCATTCTAACAACTAAATGGGCGAACTTCAGCCATTCGAGCTTCCTTTGCAAGTTTGTCCATCATCAACATAATTAACATCACGACTGCATATCCAGATTCCAATATACTTGAATAATCAACATATAAAGATGGGAAAATAAATTTTGGAAACTAATCATTAATCAAGTAACTTAAATACATTACTTACTATTAATGCAAAGTTGCACAAAAAAATAGTCAGAAGAAGATGACAAGTAATTCACGATGAAAATATTTTCAGGATAGTTACGGCGAATGTTCCAATAATCATGAAGCAACCAAAAACTATTTGATATGATATTTGCAATTAATTATTGATGTAATTTAAATATATATTATACGAGTACTTTTATATCTTGATTATATATATATATATATTATCATGACTTTATTTTAATTTAAAGTAAGATACAATTATCTCCCTTTCATTTTATTATAATTAAAGAAACTTTGCATTTGTTTTCAAAACCCACATATACTTGTATCCAACTTATAACACCATTGAAAATATTATGTTAAAGATTTTAAATTATTTAATAGTTTATTTGTAATTATATTGAAAAAATTATAATTATTTTACTTGAATAAATTGGCCCAATGACCGTGAAAAATATATTAACCAGAGATTATGAAAAGAAGGTTTTAAAAATTTTGGAATGTAGCCCATTTACAATCAATTGGGTGTGAATTTTTCTTTTTAATCCACAAAACAAATGAAAAAAACTTGTGTAACATAATAGCAAAATTTTCATAACTAAATGATTATAATCGTGGCCCTTTCACAACTTATATCGCTTCAATATTTGAATACTTTTAAATATTTTACCATTAGCTTAGTGGGCATAATATGTTTTAGATTGGAGGAAAAAGGGTATTTTTGTCATTGCAAATTAACTTAAATTAATCCGGCCAAATTGCAAAATATTTTAAATGTTAGAATGTTCTCTTTGTTTGATCCTATCAAATGCGCTATATGTGTATAAATCTCTTATTAATTTTCCCTTATAATCTAATAGTCTACTATCTCCCGTCAATTATATTTTAAAAACTTGAAATAATTAATGAAAATAAATTTAAATAAATAATTTAAAAATATTTATCTAAAATAAATAAAAATTAAACATAAACACAAATTATATTGACTGATTTAGATATGATTATTTGTGGATATTCCTTTTCTAAATAAAATCGTGTAATTTTTAAACATTAATTTTATCAGTGTACTATAATCTTGTTAAATAAATAGTTTCATTAACATTAGTTAATTTGATATTGCCTGATTTAGTAGGCATATTCGATTAATTCTTAATCAGACAAATAATACAAAGCATCAATTTTATTTTATTCTGTTATTTTCATTTATATAATTTGCTGGCATCCTTTTATTTAAAAAGAAATAGATGTTTCTTTTAAAGTTTTCATTTTTAGAAGAAAGTGTTGGTTACTTCATTTATATTTATTTTTATATTTTTTTTCATTATTCACATTTCATTTTGGATATATATGACAGTCGTGGGCGTTTATTTATTTGTTAAAGTTTTGTAATTTTAATTTTT